TAGGCTTTCTGATTAGAAAAGCAGCATGAAGTTGTGTGTTTCAAAAATGCCAAAGACATACATACTAGAATGTTCAGAAACATTAATATCCTCATTTTTCTCCTGATACTAACAATTAACTTTAAAAACTGAACAGCAATAGGTAAATGAAACCATAGCAACTATATCTCTCATTAGAGTGTATTTAAAATTTGGATAGGACACAGTATGCTCTTTTTGTAGGTAATTGAAGGAGAAGCTGTAGCTTGAAATTAGATGATAAAGATAGGATTCGTGTTGCTTAACGTTAATCACCTAAAGTGTAAACATTTAATCTGAGTTAGTCTATACACTTTTTATGGCTAATAAAAAAGATCAAGATCTGCAGAAGACAACTCAAGTCTAAAGCAGATGCCAAAGCCTTAAAGATCAATGCCTTCTGGAGGTACCCAAAAGGTACCACTTTTGTGGGAGCCCAAACAAGAAGCCTGGACTAGCCACGCAATTTTAGATTATTAAGAGAGAAATAGCCCAGCCTACACATCCAGGAATTGCACAATGCTTAAAGCCCAGGAAAGGTGAAGAAGAAAGTGTGTTCACCTTCTTTACTGGTGAATAGATGATGGGGTGAGGCTAGGGGTCTGGATCTCCTGGGCACCAGGCTGCCAGTGACTGACCTCGGGGGAGTTTCAGCTGCAGGATGTCTTAGCTTGCTCAGCATTTGGGAACTGGTTACTGATAAGCCACCTCCACAGAAAGCTCATGCCATTCTGGATTTATGTAAGCAAGGAGAAACAGCAATCTGAAAAAACAGCCATGCCCTATGGGGCTCATGGCATTAGGATGGTTCTTCGTGACAGCTTCAACCATGCCAGATGATGAGCAAGTAATTTAGCAAAATAGAAGCATCTGTATATTGAAGCACTTTGCATAACAATGCTGTACTTTTCAGCATCATAGCATTTTTAATTATTCTAATTCTTCCATTTTTCAGAGGGCCTATTCATTATTGCACATGTAGTACATTTACACTGTCTCTACCTTACAAAGCTAACCATGTAGAAATGGCTACCTGGGGAACAGTCCTATACCTAACAGCATTTGAAATTTTAGATAAAGGGAAAATTCCCCTGACTCAGAATCACCAGGTTTTTTTCTGACCATCTATACACTCCTAGTCACTAATATCCATACCTTCTCCTTCACCACTGAATTTTATTACATTTCTTTCCATACAGAAATTAGGTTCTTCTCTTTTGGGTATGTATTTGCAGTCTTCCATGCACCCTTTGCAGTGCATGAAGAGAGGGAAGGAGGAAGCCAGGAAGCCAAAGTGACAGCCCATTCCCACCTGTGTGTCCTCCTCTGTCTGCAAGCCCAGGCCAGTGATGAAGCTCTGAACATTCCAGTGTCTCCAAGCCTGGCTTTTCCTTCAGGACTGGCATCAGGCAGCCTGAGCCTGTCCTCCCTTTGTTCCCTGGTTCTCCCACCATAAGGCTTCAGATCTGTGTAACTTGTGAAAGATGGTGTTCAAGCTCCCTTTTTGGTGTGTCTGAAAAGTCTGTAGCCCTGGTATTTACAAAGGGGTCACATTTAATGTCCTTTCTTGTTAGCCCAGTTAAATCATCTGTGAATAGTTCTGTCTGATCAGGTTTAGTTCTGCAAACCTTTTGATCTCTTTGACTTTTATAGCTCTCTGTGTTGACCATTATATTACACAAGCAACCAAACTTCTGGCACCATTTTAGGAATATTAAATCAAAGTTTAATACATGTCATTGTGAAAGTTTTCTTTGGTCCTACAACTATATTTTTTCTATATTTCTTTCATCCTTGGTCTTTCAGAGCCTCTCAAGCGCTTGGAGTAATTCCAGTGGTGTTGCCCTACAACATGACAACAGTCATATATCTGTGACTGTATACACAGATTGAGCCATTTCATATTCAGAGTTTGTTTAGAAATTGTAATTGCATTTGGCCTTCTGTGCACAGACTTCTGTATTTCTTCCCAATTTATCTGTAAACTAGTTTTGGTTCCTAACCACTGAATTCCCTTCAGTCTTTAAAAAGCCTTCAGGCAACTGAGCTATCAGCACTACATTCATTTTTTCCCCCCAGTGCACTTTTAGCAGTGCCATGAGACTTAGCAAGGCAGCTGAGCTTGGCCATATTCCAGTAGATGCCTTTGAGCACATGGGCTGAATTTCCTTCCTCATAGTAGACCATTTAAATCTGTCTTTTCTTTTTTTAAGGAGCTTTGAATAGTTCTGTTTTCTAGTAGAAAACCAAATTGCAACAGTAAATCTTTTTTAACTAGTATGGAGTAAGGAGCAAAATTAATGAATGTAATGTCATGGACTCAAACCCCAGTGAAATGTATCTGTGACTCTTCACTCCTAAATCTCTACCTGAATTTATATATTTACACCACCCAGTATTTGCACATCAGTTTGTGTAATACATGAGTAAAAACCATTAAATTTTCTAAAGTATATAAATTCAATTCTGTCTTCATGTAGCATATCAGTGAACTGTCATTATGCTGGCAATATTTTTGCTCTGTTTTCAATTTTTGCAAAGCTCCAAGATACTTTCCTAAACTTGGGAATTTTTTATAAGCCTCCTCCTGCCAATAGCCATTTCACGGCCTCTTCTCTCTGCTCTCACAAAGCTGCACTGCTGCCCCATAGGGCTCAGGGAGGCCCACAGGGTTGGGAACAGACTTTTGTATCTTTGATGTTTGGAGGTTTGTGGATTGGTCACAATCCAAGCCTTCATGTAAAGTGCATTTGTGCTGGGGAAAAGTCCGCTGAATTTAGTGAAACTTACAGAAATGCATTTGTTCAAAAATTCAGTTTTGTGAAGTAAGTAATATGCCATGAAAAATGTCAGTGTGATGGCTGAGCTGTGATGTTCAGTGTATAAACACTTCCTAGCACCTTGTGACTCCCAGCTAAAAAAAAACAACAGAGCAAACTTCAAGATGAAGTCGCCTTAATGGGCTGGATGATGTCTGGGTGTTAAACATCTGCAGTGTCTGGAGCTGGTGGCTGCAGGTGCTGTACACTTCCCATTCTCACAGCAGATACCACAGCACTTGGTTCAGAGACAAGAAGCTTCACCTGATGTCATTCAGCACTCACTCCAAACTACCCTTGTGCTGGATGAATCTTGCCTGGAGGTGCCTGTTTCCCCCAGAATGAAGAGGAAGCATACTTGATGATGTCAGCTTGGTTAGGCTACCTGCAAGGAACTGAGTCAAGGACAGGAGAAGATTTAAGCATAGGCACAGATCCCCTGTGGCTCATCTAAGTGATGAGCATGCATTTCATTTATCGTCAGTTTATGTAAGAGTCAGTCCAATGTGTGTATGTTTACATTTCAGAGGGTGCTTAGTTCAGGGACTGGGGTGGTTTGCTGTGCTAGGACTTCAAAAACTGATTTTACATCTAGGCAACATATTCAGTGGCTGCTCAATACACCTTGTTCCTACACTGCAGCCATAGACCACAGGGAAAAGCTGTACTAATTCAGTGCATTTGAAAATTAAATGTAGTATTAAAAATATTTATCTGAGGAATTATTTTCAAATTGTCCATACATCATCAGTGAAACATGACTTAAGAGCAATCTGAACTTTTTCAAAATCTCTGGCTATTGAAAAAGCCAGCAGATATCATGAAACCGTTAAGAATTTCAGCCGAAATGGTGAGAATCCAGGCATATGAAGAAAAGGAATCTGTACTGGAAACTCTTAAGCGTAGCGATCTTAACCATAGAAGTCAAGACTCAATGAAAACTACTCCCTGAGCAATTTTTAAAGCACAGATGTTTTGAGGTTGGATGTACATGTTGCAGTTCTACTCTTCTTCCTCTTTCATTAAGTTGGTTTAGAACTACTGTAACTTTCAAAGTGCTCATTATGTATATAGCCCTTCAGTATGCAGTCAGTCTGTGCTCTCGTGGCCTTCAAGTGAAGTCCACCTGTGTAACCATTGTGCCAGTCTCTTTCCCTACTGCTCTCTGCTGCTCACAAATACTCCCTTGACAAAGCAGTAGTGATTACTTCTTTACTTTGTGATCTGAAAACTAGGTCTTCCTTTCTTCCTTAACACTCTGGACACTAAAAATCCTTGTTAGGTTTTTATCTTATGTATCTCTTTTATAGTGTTACATCCTAAGCTAATGGTAGTGTAGTATCTAAAGAATTTCCATTTTTTTAATGTTTAATAATCTGTAGTTAAAATTACTTTGGACAATATTGTTAACAGCTGGGTTTGAGTTAATACAAAATGAGATTATTTGGGCTATAATTTGATATAAAACTGTTGCATTATCATAATCACTGGGATTTAATTTAGAATTATACACCAATACTGGCTCGGGAGTTAAGTCCTAAGAGTGAGAGAAAAATAGGCCGACATGCACTCCAGTATGTAACTCCCATATTCTATTTTGGAATACATACAGATTAACTAATAGTCTTACAATACTAATACTAATAATAATAGCCCTATTCTGATTTTAAACTTTAGTAGCTCTGTTTGTTAGTAGGAGTTATTACTGGCTTTCACTGGCATGAGATCACAATTAGTCTTCCTATTTTCAGTTCTCTCAGTATATTATTTGGGCAGAAGAAACATTGTAGCACATTACTCTGAACATCACAAACTAAATGAATTCTCTAGGGAAGACTATTTTGTTTCAGTAAAACAAACTCATAGCTGAATCTGTGCAAGCAATAGAAGCTGCAGACATGCATCAAGGTCCAGCATTGACCACAATTGTATATGCAATATTCCAGGAGTAAACCCAGATTAGAGTGATAGCTGTGTCTCTAGTTGATTGTAGTGACCTGCTTTGAAGCCTCAAATTACAGTGATTAGTTTCCAAAAGGGCTATGAATGTAAGTAATGCCTCGTGGGACTTCTTGCTGAAGGGTTTTCAAGAGGGTAGTGTTTTATATTAAATTAGATAATAAATAATAAAACCAATAAATAATAATAAATGTATTTTTTCAGAGTCACTTTTCTGTGAAGAAAGGAGCTGCGGCTTTGGGTATTGGTACAGATAGTGTGATTTTGATTAGATGTGATGAAAGGTAAGTAAATACATCAAATACAGCTTTTTTTGTGGTGCATAACAGAGGATCATCAGGTGCTCACCTCAGAGGGAATGTGCAGGATGTGGTCAGCAGTTGGTATAATTTGTCATAGCACTATCATCTTCAGCAGCTGTACACTAATTTATCCCACTTGAGGAACTGGCTCTGTTAGTAGCTTTTTTATGTGTCTGTTTTTGGAGTTCATAAAAAATCTTAAAAGTTCTTTTTCTCAGAGGTTTCTGATATTTTTTTTCTTTCATTCTGATGTGAAACAGAATATCAAACAAATATCATTCTTTACATTTTGTGCTAAGAAACCGGGAGGAAGCTTGTTTTGATCAAATCAGACTCTCACATTTTGATCCATTAAAATGAGCTGAAGTGGGCCTTTTATAGGAATAAAATGTTTCGGAGCATTTGCTAATATAATTCTATTACTTTATGCCTCCACCATCTTTCTCATCTGGATTGCATTTCCCTCAGTGCCCTTGATAGGGACATGTTTGTGATAGGATGTGAAGAGAAGATGTGTCTTTGCAGCATTGTGGGAAACATAGGCTAAGGAGGATGGTGGTCCCTGGAAACCAACAGCACAGGAGGCAACACAGGCTTTGAAAAAGGGTGGTAGATAACTTCTTGTTTAACTCAACCAACCAGAAGGGTTCAGTTCTCTGTGAAAACTCATTTTGAGGAAAATGTATATTAACAAAATCAACATGTTCTGATAAAAATTTTCTGGTTTAGGGAAAACACTTTTTGTGGGACAAAAAATTACTAGAAAAATTCTTATTGCTTCTATTGAGAGTCTTTCCAATAGCAAATGCTATTTGAGTCCCTCATTGTTACAAGGTATTGAATTAATTATGTCTCTAACAGAAATGGAAGGTTTTGCTGCTATCAAAATACTCTGCTCCCACATTAAAAAACAAGCATCAAGTAAGCAATTTACAGTGCTAATCACAGTGCCTGTGTATTGACTTATGAACCTATTATCTCTTTATTAACAAAAGACTGAACACACTTTGAAGAGGATTTAATGACGTCAGAACAGCCAACAAATATCAAAACAAATCCCCAGTTGTTTCTATTCACTAGAGGTGGATGTGGATCAATGAAGCCATGTCTTCCTTTTCTTCTTGTGCAAGTTCAGCGTGATGGTTTTCTGTGAAGACCACAATGGTTGGCCTGCCCACGCTGAAGTAAACAGCAGGATTCCTGTGTGTCTCACAGACACCATGGGGACACAGCAGACAGAGCAGGGACAGAGCAGATTGTTTGCTCAGGATGTGGGCTGATGTGGTTGAGAAGACCCTTTGTGAAGATGTGGGCCTGTGGAAGAGTGAAGAAGCACGTTGATATCTTTTTGAAGTTTTCAGTATAGTTCCTGGTGGCTCTTTCCCATTCTGACCCACACCTGCCTAGTTTGCCTTGTTTAGATGATAAACCTTGACTTTGCTTGGGTATGGCTCTCCTGGCCATGAATTCCTGCATCTACTTGATGTGACTGGGGCTGCATAATCACTTGCTTTGGTAAAACAATTTGGCCAGTGAAAGCATCTGCCCAGTTCTGTGTATGTTTCTATGCACAAGCTCACTAAATCAGAAACTATTAAAAATCAGCATCTAAATTATGTTTTGAGCAGGTACTCATTGCCCTCTTTTGACATGGTTTTATTTTCTTTATTCCTCTAATGATCCCAGGAACAGTTTTTGAGGATAAGACTACTACTGCTTTTCTCTGAACATGTACATGTCTCTGTGAGGAGCTCACAAGAAGCTGAATACTCTCTAGACCTTCTTTGTACTTCTGCAAGAAAAATCAGGGTTAATTTTTAGATTTTTATTTTTAGTTATTCTTTCAGTATTTTAGTACTTTGAATATGCAGGAGAGATTTTGCAAAAAAATTCAGCAGTTTCAGAAACAAACCCGTTTCTACTAAAATAAATACCGTGTTATTGTAAGCTATGTGAGGATGAAAACTTAAAAAACCAATAGCATCTTATTACAATAAATTAATAATTTTTAAAAAGGACATGCATCCAAATGTCATGAAAACAGTTCAAGTGTTTTTATGCAAAATGAAACTAAAACTAGTGGGTTTATTAGTTTCCATGTAACTTCATTTTGAGTTTTAATTAAGGTTGCTTTTTTTTATAACAGTAGGAAATGAGGGCCTAGTGGAAAAAAAATCTGAAAAAGTCTTTAGAAATTTATATCCATGTTAATGTCCAATATTCAAAGCCAGTGAAGACTTTATTTCTGTAACATGGGAATCTATCATGTTTGTAGTGCTGGTATTCATAGTGCCTCTTCTTTTATAGACTTGATTGTGTCTAAAGCAAAGAAAACCATGGCCTTAATATTCAGTATCAGCTCTGTTTTATCTTGCACCTAGTTACTTTATAGGATTTCCTAAATTAGCCTTCAGGCCATACACAACTGAATCTGAGCCTGAAGGAGATGGTTCATAGTGGAGGTGTTGCAAGTACAGTCAATGCAAAGAGCCTGACAGTGCATTTAGTGAGTTTAGACAGGCAGTTTCTCACACCCTGCTTCCAGCAAATGCAAACGTGTAATTCACTAAACTGTGGAAAAGTCACCCTGAAACGAGTTCATCCCTGGGAAGGGAACACAGAGACAGCTGCTGACAGCACAGCTGAGTTGCACCACTCAAGGCCATGCAGCTCAGCTGACATTTTCTGTGCCTACTGAGAGATAACCATGGGATTTGGAACCCAGTGAATTTCTTGGGATGCCGAGCTGAGCCTCTCCCTGGGAGACTGAAGCTTATTTCCAGGACTGTAACTTCAGACAGGACCAAGATGCTCCAAGGAGCAGCATCAGTCTTTAATGGGGTGGCCACAACATACTTCTTCAGTTACCATCACCATGTTGATGCAAATATATTGACAACTCAGACTAATGGACAGAATCTTTCCATGCCCATCAGTGCAGCATAACTCTTGGGCAAAAAAGTAATTTTGCTCCTTCTTTGGGTATCCTATTTAAGTGAAGAAGTAACAGCAAAAGTTGATTTCAAGATCGAATGCCTGATATAACTCTCTCTTGCTCCAGAGGGAAAATGATCCCATCAGACCTTGAAAGAAGAATTGTTGAAGCCAAACAGAAAGTAAGTTTACCAGCTCTCTTGCTTCCAAAGAAGACAGAAACCCAAAGAATGGTAAAGCTGGTTGTTTGTTTTCCTTGGTTAAACAACACAGGCTTGCCCATTAAGTTTTGATTTATTTATTAGAAATGTAGCCTGCCAATTAATGAGGCAAGAATTGCTGAGAAAAATATGTTTAGAGCTACATTATAATCCATGAGTTATTTGGCTTTCTTTTTATATGATGTTTTGCATAACATCCTCCTCTTTTATATTATCAGGCTATGTATGATGCAGCCTCTCAGCTAAATATTGTCAAAACCAGAGTAATAATTTTGGAGAATTTGTTTTATTCTATGCTTTATTTCAAAAGCATTGAAAATACTTTTCATAGACTCACCAAATCAATGGAAGGTAAACTAAAATCCACATATCTCTAAAAGTGCACACGCTATTGTATTCGTTCACTAAGAGATGCTAGAATTAAAACATCAGATTAAAGTATGCAATGAACACAGCCCTGTGCTTTCGGCATTTATGTTTACTAGACACACTGCAACAAAACCTGATTAATAACACAAATCTTCATTGAAAGCAGATTTTTTCCAAGAAAAGCAATACAGTAGATAAAAACGTAAGGCAAAATGACAGTAGAGTGCCGCACAAAACTACTGACTGTTGCAGAAGAAAGTTTGGACTTTCTTGATGGTTTGAACCCCAGTTCTGCAAAAAAAAAAGTAGCCACTCTTGACCTCTAAGTACTCCTTATGAACTCAATGTAACTAAAAATGAAATTAAAATTAAATACTGGTATAAATTCTAGCAGACCCCAGATCTCATAGTGCAGAAGTGGTGGCTGCCGAGTGCTCTGCTGTGAGGCATGGCATTTAGGAGAGGGAATCCAAGAAAAAGTCCCTGGGCTCTGTGGAGGTTCTACCTTTGAAGGGCTGTCTCCCTGCTGTGCGTGTGGGATGGGGCTGGTGGTGAGCCCCACACTGCCCCAGGAGACGCCCTCAGACACGATGTTCCCACTGACAAAACTGGGGCACCACGTTACCAGACACTCACTGGGATAATTGCAATGTAGCCCAGGGCACAGTCCACCAGAAATGCTTCTCTCACTGTGGTGCCTGGTTCAGGTTTGTTTATGTGACATCCTGCAGTGCAGACGTTTTTTTGTTTCAGGCAGGTGGTGTGAAGCAGAATTGTTCTGTTGAACCCTTACCTGTCTCATGCACCCTAATAAATAGAGGATATTGGTTTGGAAGTTTGCTGCCACCTTAAGGTAGAAACCATAATATCGCTGGCATCTAAACGTGGAGAAAACCAGCGTAAGATAGCAAGGATGTCCTCTGGGAAACACTTGTGGGGTCACTGTGGGGGCAGCACAAGGGGAGCTGGGGCTGCCGTGGGATGAGGGGCCTGCAGCACTCTGAGCATGCATAACATCTCTCTGCTTTCTTGCAGGGATTTGTTCCTTTTCTGGTGAGTGCCACAGCTGGGACAACAGTGTATGGGGCGTTTGATCCTCTCATAGCTATTGCAGACATCTGCAAGAAGTACAAAATCTGGATGCACGTGGATGTAAGTATCATCATACGTGGAAGGCTGGATTACAAGGTGTATTAACATTAATTTATTCATTTTGGAGAGTGTCATCTTGTACAAACCCATTGTATTTAGTTGCTGTAATTAAGTCTAGCTTCCAAGCACTGACTTCCCACTCTGAGAGGCTCAGGTCAGGGTGATATTTTAGGAACCTGTGACTGTAGTTGTACTTGTAGCAACTGGGACACTTAAGATGACCTAGTTTGAGGGCTTTTGGCTTTCAGCTTTATCTTTAAATGTCATTAATAAAGAAACACGTAAGAAGTGTATTGAGCTCAGCTTCAGCAGCAGCTGCAAAATAAATACATAAGGAAAAGGATACATTTTCTGGAATAAAGTACTGCAAATTGCTGATCAGGTTAATGCAAGTGCTAGGGAAATTTATCAGATAGGCTATTTGGCTTTATCCAGGCTCTTGCCAAGAAATCTTTCTGAAGGATCATCTTTCAGCCCTAGAATATCTTCTGTGTCATTTTTGCAAATCCTTTCTCCAAAAAGGCTTGGTAATTGACTTCCCATAGGTTTGGGATTCTGGATTTAGTATTACTGTGTCAGCCAAAATCAGTCCATTCAAAGGAAGAATTTGTATTTACCTTAAATACTTCTGAGTTGCATGAAATGCCTGCTTGTCCCAGATCTCTGTGAGGAAGGCAAATGAGTAGAGGACAAGAAGTAGTAGGTCCAAAATATGATTGAAATCCCCCAAAGCAGCTGCGATCGCAGTCTGGTTTGTTATTATAAGGTAGTGACTCCAAGAGAAAAGGCAGCTGACCCAGGAGCAGATCTGCAAGTCGTTAATTACAGCGGGGGTGGCAGCCCAATGTGCGATGTGCCGGTGTCAGAGGGACAAGTGAGGGGTTTGCAGATAGTAAGGGTGAGTGCCTGGATTAGGGGCTATTAACCACTGCTTCCAAACTACTGGAAGAAAATTGTTAGCACAGCTCATGCCTCAGGCCCCATCTGCCTGGTCATTTTGGAATGTGTCACATCAGCAGGATAAAAAGCATCCCAAACTGATGGGAACGCGCAGATGTCATCACAGAAGAAAGCAGAGCTCTCATTAAGATAATGTGTCTTGCCTTCCAGGGAGCATGGGGTGGTGGGCTCCTGATGTCGAGGAAACACAAATGGAAGTTAAATGGCATCGAAAGGTATGATTTATTAGTATCAATAAAAGACATTTATTAAATGCATTTTAACATGAGTGATTACCACAGCAATGCCTGTAAAAATTAAGGATCAATATTATCTCTGAGATACAGCTGGGAGAAATCATATAAACTGCCCTTCCGGTTGAAGCAGCATTGCAGAGTGCCTTTGTGTTACAGTAGTGTGGCAATTTGTTTTGAACTACAAACAGCAGATATTCCATGCTTGTTTCTCTGTTCTCACTGCCTACATATACAGGTCCAGAGCAGTTTTTGCAGCATCCTCTAATTCAGCATCCAACATGAATTAGCAATTTAATTTCTCTAGGAAGTGAATCTTGTAGGTCTTGTACACTGAAGTATGAAACTTTAAGTATAATAAAACATGGGTGCACCTGCAGTTAGGACAGATGTCCTGTTCTGTCTCTGCTGGAGAGACTAACCCTCTCCAGACTGTGTTTTTGATGTCTTCAGTAGATCTGTGCCTGGATATATACACAGTTGTAGTCATGAGCTCATAAACTTTGCAGATAATGGAGGTGAACATAAGTGATGCTAGTCCAGGCTGGAAGGACTGATCTTAAACTTAAAAATAGCTTCTTACTCAGAAAGTAAGTTTTAGTTAAGCCCTGGAAATCCTTTCTATAGGATGTTGAGGTTTAACTACATTCAAGGAAAGACAAAAAACATTCAGGATTTCTGTGAGCCACAAAGGAGTGGAAGCTTAGAGGGTATTTAGAGAAAGTTCATGGGTTCATTGCCCCATTTTGTGTTCTTCCCAGTCCCCTTTCCAGAGGCAGTATGCTGGGATAGATGGAGTCACTTGCATTTCTGTACTTACTAAAGCTCATGATGTTTGAGAGTATATCATTACTCCCTTCCTCCTTCTTTATCACTAAATCAAGTTGCTGTTCCTTGCCAATTAAAATTACAAACTTCCTCATCCTGATCCTGGAGATTAGGAGGATACCTTGATGATTCAGTTCTTTTCTCATACATCTCTCATGAAAAATTTGGAAAGCAGCCAGTGATTCTATGAATTTCATTTAAGACTGCCTACAGCACTCCAGACTTACATATCATGCATTAAAAGGATATATATCCAAATATCCAGCAAGTAAAAATGTACATCGTTGCCTGTGAGGGCAGAGTGTGAAACAAAGGATTTGCCTCCCAAATTACTGTCCAAATTGTGCTGGAATGAGAAGTTCAGGTTAAATTTGCTTTGCAGCATTTTCTGCATAACATGCTTTAGATCCAGAACTCCACTGGATTTTATTAAGTGTTTTGATGAGCACCATCTCAGTATGTTAGGAAGTGAATTAAGGAAATCTGTTATTTTGAGTGCTGTTCCTCTGCTTTCTGGACACAGTGGCTTGTTTCAGTTTGTCCAGATCTCAAGTGTTGGAACTTTTAGAGCAGACCTTTCATGGACCTTTCTGTTTCATGGTAGATAATGGAGTCATCACAGGTCTGGGTAGAAGTGAACTGAAGCTGTTACTCATGTTTGATAGGAGAGGGAACATTTACTGCAGCACACTGTGTTCTGAGTACTCACATCCTTCTGGTAACAGTCAGTCCAGCAGAAATATTCCTGTCACAGGAGGACGAGTTGCAGGACTGTCCTTACCATGCCCTCCAGTCTCCCCATGGCAGATTCCAAGGTGCTGGAAGGCACCCTGAAGGAAACACAAGCCCCAGTGTGTGGAGCAGATAGGTCTGGCCAATATCAGGAGTTCCAGCCTGGTGTCCCTGTCCAGAGGCTCAGGCAGGGAGTGACAGCTGCATGAGAAAAGCATGTGTGCAGTGAGTGAGTGCTCCTTAGAGGCTCCATAGCTCCATAGCTTTCAGGAGCTGGCTGGTCAGTGATTGGATGAGTCTGTATTTAATGCTGGCTTAGGACCAAATTCTGCCACTCATGAATCTCTCCTGTCATCCATTTGAAATCTGTAAAGGAAAAACATTTCTTTTTTTTCTATCTTTGACCCATAGCCAAAAAATCACATAGGTCCTTGGTGCTCAGTTATTTGGGCAAACATGAGATGCGTTTAGAAAACATCTGTGGATTCTTACAGATTTTTTTTACCTCACTTTGTCTTGGTCAGCAATTTCTTCAAACATATACTAATGACAGAAGCCCAAAATAACTGATAACAAATGAAAAATTAGGGATTTTTATTTTACATAATTCATTATTTTTCTGTGTGAAATTTGTATCTAATTAGGTAAAAAGGTGACCGTAGGATAAATTAAATGTTTCAGACAGATAATTCACATCAATAAGTAACCTTTTTGCTTGAAAATGCATACTACTATTGTTTTTTAGAGGTCTCTTAAAAGAATTTCTGTCTGATTGTGCATAGGCACAAAAAAAATTAAAAAGTATCATATCAAGGGAAGTTCATAGACCTGAGTGGATGTTCAGAACCATTAGCTTTGGTGTTGTAATCAGATGACCGACTGAGCTGATTAAAAGCTGCCAGATACTCAAAAAGCCAAGCCAAGTGGCCAGATGTTGCCTGTGGAAGACTGTTCCCTACAGATTTTGCATCAGGCACTTGCACAGTACCATTTAAATAGCAAAGAAGAAAGCACAGAAGTGCTGCCTGATGTCATGTGAATTTTGAAGTTGCTTGCTTTGAAAGAGTGGAAGCCATTTGGCTGGAGGTGCATAAACCTGTAGCACTGTCTCCAAATCTCACAAAGGAAAACACTGCTAGATTCTAACATGCTCACCTCTGATGATATTTGTGTTATACCTGCAAGTGTGTCCTGGGTCCTTTAAGTTTTCATATGCCTCAGCTGACTGACTTATACCATCAAAATACAAATCACGGCACTAGATGAAATCATGTGCACGATGTGTCCTTGACAGCTAGCCAGATAGGATGCAAATATATACATTTATAGCTAATTCATCATATGTAACAATAGTAATTATAAAATAGCCTGTCAAATATAACACAAAATGAAAATAATAAACAACTGGGCACTCTTCCATTCAGCCCTTACTGCAGTCCCAAATGCCTCTTCTCTAGACTGATGTTGTGTCAGCTCTCTGTTCCCAAAACCTAGGTTGACAGCAATTTTTCCAGCACATGTATCCTGGAGGGAGGCATGATCAGACTCTTTTCTGGCAAGATGGGTCATTTCCACGCTTATTACTGTAGTCGTGTGAATTGCTGTAACCAAGCAAAAATTAGGGAGCTATGAAAATTTGCTATCATCAGAGCAACAAGAAACATTAGTTTGGGCCATGTTTTCCAGGTTACTCAGAGACTTAGTGATACCCAGAAGTATTTCAAGGAACTATTTTAAATGCCTGTGTGAGCTAATTTTTAAAATCTTACTGAAACTGGAATCAGAGGGAGGGAGATCTGCTAGGTTGCCAGCTTCCTATCTGCATCTTTAAATGACTGCGTAGTTTTAGAAAGTTCATCAGTCAAGTTTGTGCTTTTAGGAAGTTTGCCCTATGTAAGTATAGATGACTCCCCAGAAAGTTCAATACTGATTAAATTTAGTGGATAGAGCAATTATCCTGTGGTAAATTGCCAGGATTGTCATCCAAAAGCCAGCTGGAGTGGATTAGGTCCCCTGTGAAGGCATTGCTTTCCTAATATCAGCCATGATAATTTTCAGCTTTGCTTGCTCAGAAAAAGAAAAAAGTGAGTATTGCTTCATGTTTAATATTCTAATAATTTCTAAATGCCTCTGGGGTTTCATCACACAGTACAATGTCTGAGTTTCATGTGGTTTTCTGTTCCAGAGCTAACTCAGTAACCTGGAACCCTCACAAGATGATGGGCGTCCCACTGCAGTGTTCAGCCCTGCTAGTAAGAGAAGAGGTATGTCAATATATACACAATATACATGCTTCTCTGCTTCTTTCTGGCAGTTTCTGAAAATCCTGGATATTTTCTTCAAAACTGTGCTGTAGGTGATATTTGCTAAGGTGATGAGGATTATAACAGGAACTGAGAAAAGACTTCTATTTTTATGCTTCAGCCGTGACTGCAAAAGGAATTAAAGCAGATGTCTAGCAAAAATGAGGCAATCAACGGCAATATCTATACAGAGTTTTGTGACTTTCCATTCTAAGTGTCCATGGTTAAGTTGTGGCTGCATAACTGTGTAACCCCACTAGTTGCTGTGTAGCATAAGATGTAACTGCAGGCAAATTCTGGTCCTCCTGGGGTGAAAGTCATGGTTTACATGCAGCACAACATTTGGTCCAGAATCAAGGCATCATTACACTTTCTAGACTTTCATGATATTCCTACCCAGCTTTGATCTATATATCCACTTGGGGGCACATGGAAGTAAAAATGGAACAGTAAATGCTCTTGGAATAAAAACTAGACATTTCATTTAGTGCTAGAATTTGAATTGCCCTTCAAGCCTGTAATTTTCACATAACCATCACTTACTGGGACAGCTGCCGTACAGCCACCACTTAATAGACCAGCTATCAAAAAGCTGGTTGCTGTTTTGCTAACAGCTGTACAACAGATTGTATACAAAGTGATTGCATTTAGGAAGAGAGAAACTGGCTTTTATTTGCCCTCTGGGTCAGTTCCCCAAGACAAAGCCTGCCTGGCTGAAGTCAGTACCATCCTTGACTTCTAGTGAGAACAGATGGTTCAGATTAGGAGAAAGTCAGTTCTTTTTCCCCCCTTTCATTTTGCTATCTCAGTTTTGAGTTACACATAAAGATTAGATTTGATGATAAACAGCCATGTTATGATTCTTCTTGGACTGGAAATTGCCATTTTAGGCAACAGCCCTAAGGTATACCATAAACTTGGTTGAGATCTTAACTAGAGCCAGAATGTGTCTCTCTGCATTTTACTTAAAAAGCTAAAAAGGAAACCTCATGCTTTTATGAGGCCAGGTTTCGTCACCTTGTTGGCTTCTGTTCCTCCCAAAAAGTTACCTCTTAGAATGGTATGTTGCAGCCCAGAAATAGCTCTAGCTGGGTTTTTAAAGGCCATATGCTCTACTGCGTGTTCAAAGCTTTCTATACAGCTTAATACAGCTTAAGCATCCAATCTACGGCTGAGGGCTTTGAAGAAAAGAACTGTTCCTACAAAGAAAGAAAACAATAAAAATAAGAATTTTAGAGACCAAAGCAATTGAAAAGTGCTGTGATACTCTTTGGATTAGTCATTAGTTGTCTTGGTGTGACTCAGAAAAGAAGCCTTCAGAGGAATGGAGGAAAAGGAGCCAGAACAAAGAATAAAAGGCAAGATCCAGAAATGAAATTAAGCTTAAGAATGCTAGGAAGCACAATGTACAGCTTTTTTTAAAAATTATTTGGATGTGGGAGTGGATTATACATTGCTGGATCAGGTACCAAGGCATCTTGGGCACCGATAGGGATTAGCCCATTGAGCAACTAAGTCTAGTATTGTGCTTTTGATCTTCATTTTGCACTTAGACATATATTTGACTGATTTTGGATGTTTGTAATTTTTCACCCAAAGCAACCCTCAAAGCAGTAGTCAAATCTGTGCCAACATCCCTGTGCTTGTGTCTTTGTGCCCATAAGGGATTGATGCAGAGTTGCAATCAAATGCATGCTTCCTACCTCTTTCAACAAGACAAGCACTACGACCTGTCTTACGACACAGGAGACAAGGCTTTGCAGTGTGGACGGCATGTTGATGTCTTCAAGCTATGGCTGATGTGGAGGGCAAAGGTAGGACTGCCTGCTACACATTTGTTTGTATTAAAATAATGCACACCAGATACACTTGAGAGTTTGTTTTTTTTCTGTAATCACAATTTTAGAAAATACCTGACCTGAATTTCATATATATAACATGAAAGAAAGAACATTATTATTTTCTGGGGGTTTTATACTTTTAAAGACAGAGCTTCAAAGCAGCACACATGATTTTGAAACTTGAACTGTATGGCTTTGCATAGTATTTGCCTTGTGTAACTGTAGGAGTCTAACAGCATAAATCATATACCTAGGAATGTTGTTACAAAGATTTCTGGAAGTAAACAGATGTTTTAATTATATTCAGAAATTATACGTGGCAAATCAAGACGAATACCTAGTTTCATTGCATGCAGTAGAGATGAAGTAATCTTTAGGAGTAGAGGAAAACTCATCAAAAAAACTCTTCACTGGGAAATCTGTAAACAGCTCTAATGATAACTTTATATTGCTAAATAAGTTCTTGCATGTATTTATTTAATCTATTATGTCAGGTTGCCTAAGGTTGGTTCACAGGAGATGACATCACTGTTTTCATTTCCAGAAAGCCTTAAAGATTCTCATGTGCTTCATTAAGCGTCAGAGGAGGTGTGGGAGTCTGTAAAGGAGAATGCAATAGCTGTTGTGCTAACTGGGGTCTGCAGAGCAGCAGGCAGTTTTAGCCACATGTCTCTTTTACTCCAAGCCTTTCTCCCAGGGCTACCTCTACTCTGTTTTGAAATCTCTACACAGAGGGATAATGACATGGGCTTTTAAGTCAGTTCTGCACTGCCAGAACAGATTTAGCAGGGACATGCATCCATTACTCAGAGACATTTCTGCTAAAGCCCATTTTTTCAATATGCCTTGTACTGCTTTTTCTCTTCTCACACTCTGCTTGTAATATTAACATTACAAAATAGGATGTGTGTTTCTTAAAGATTTTTTCCAGCTGTTTATTCCCTTTTCTCCCTCTTGAAGCTGCATCCTTTGTTTGAGGCATCACAGTTGATGATTGCAGAAAAAATTATGATGTCACAGAGAGGATTATGACTTCTGCCAGAGACGAAAAAGTGGGCTTTTCTGTAGCCCTTAAAAACACAGCTTCTGCGTTTGTATGGCATCTGTTAGAAAAGAGAATACCACAGAGGCAGGGTAGTATCTGAACAAAGTGTGCATTTTCACATGCGTAAGACTGGGCTCTAAAAGTGTGTCTACCCATTCTGTGCTTAACTGAAAAAGAAAAAAATATTCTTGGAAATTCCCCAGTATATCATTCCTGGAAGATTAAAATCCCCTATCCTGAAAATAGCGGGAGACTCCCCATGTCTGGAACTCAACACCTCCTGAAGACCCCACACTGTGCCAGTCCAAGCTATCCAAAACTGTCCTCGGCCTCTCTGCAAAATCTACCAAAGGCACCCTTCGAGATGCTTTTCATGTTCTCAGCAAAATATTCCTGAGAACCAAGCAAGTACCTGATGCTTATTTTGCAGAGTTGGCTATAGGGATGTCAGTGGCAAGAGCCAGAGACAAATGAGCTCTGCTTATCAAAGTGCCCTTCAACACATAGAATCAGATCCTTAACTGATCTCACTGAGACTTTTGAGAGGTGACTTGTGCTGATGTATTGGCAAGTATTGCATGGTCCTTTTTCCCTTTTAATTCACAGAGCAGGTATTTACGTAACTGCTTTTCTTCATCTCTCTGTAAAGGGAACCACAGGATTTGAAGCACAAATTGATAAGTGCTTGGAACTTGCTGAATACCTATACAATAAAATAAAGAACAGAGAAGGGTATGAAATGGTATTTGATGGAAAGGTATGTAGTGCTACATATTTTTCTCAGTTGGTCAACACTGTCTGGTTCATTACCTATTGGGATGCTACCAACAGGTCAAATCAAACAGCATGAGACAGAAAGCAGGGACCCTTGTAACAAAACCTCTTGTTGTGCCAGTTCCTCTCTACCTCATGGAATGCAGGAACAATGGAGGTGAGGCAGCTGTGCATAAGTGTTCAGTTTGCTCAGTTTAACCCTGCTGAAACAAAACACCAGGATCACAGCCTAACACAACACGCCGAGGCACAATGAAAACCAGGCTCTTATGTTATAAAAACAAGTTGCAGTTTCCAAATAGCAGGGTCTGTTAGGAGGGGGGGGTATGGTACCCCAGACACTGAAAGGATAGTTGTACAGAGCTGTTTTATCAGCATTCTTAAGTGGCAGTCACAGGGGAGCTGGGGTGACCTGAAGGGACCATCTGCACTGAGGTCCCTGCTGTGATGGGGTGCAGCCAGCAGGGCAGGGGCTGGTGTTGCTTGGGTGCAATATCACCAGATATCACCAGGCATGCAGATATCACCAGGCAGGTTACGTGGAGAGACTCCAGCTGAGATGGGATTCCTGGGTACCAGGAGCTTGGCAGGAGCATAATGCGCAGGGCAAGGCAGTGCAGCCTGGGTTGGGTGGCTGTACCTCTGCTGTGCTCGGCCATTGCTGTGTGGGCAGCCTCTCCAGCTGTGAGGGCTGGGGACAGGCCTGGTAGAAACCTCTGTTACAAAGTTACAAAGCTGGTGTTCTGTCTGTAAAAGAGAACAAGGATGAACATCACTGTGTTTCTTCAGAGATTACAGGCTCAAATTCACATACCACTATGGAATTTATTTCCCCCACCTCCCATGTCATCACTGAACTTGGTCCACTGGGTCTGATGATGAGTGAAGGAACTGGCAGCAGGAGGAGTTGCTGTAACTCACAGCATCCAGCAAAGAACATAGCAAGGCAGGCAGCTGTTGGGAGATTGGAAAAATGCACAAAATGTCAACTAGGTCTTACTTTATGCCTTTCTGCTTAGTGCTCCCATAGATGTTAAATGAGCTAAGATGTTGTGGTGCATGCATATTAATATAGCAGCTAGCAGAATCAAACTGAGAAGTAATAAATTTCATTAAATATAAGAAAATCTTTGACTGTCTTATGCACCACCTGTGGCTCCTGTTTACAGAATCAGATTTTGTATTATTCTGTCATGTAATAAAAGTAAATGACACAGTCCTTACCTCTAAATTATCTGTAATAGACTCTTGCCTTAGCCACACGATCCCTTCAAGCCCCTGGAGGGGACAGGAGCTGCAAAATCCAGATGCCTTTCAGAAAGGCATAAATACATTTGCCCAGCTGGATGATGTGTTTCTGCATCTGACACCCTGGGAATAAATTGCTTAAAATTATCTTTTCTGCATTAATAATGATGATGACTCTCAGTGGACCACAATAATGAAAACCATTGACTGCTGTCACAAGATGATGTATGAGAAGGAGGGAAGGCATGAACTTAATTGCAATTGAGATATTATGAGCATTTCTTACAACATAAACTATTATTATTCTGTGCTTAGCCTCAGCACACAAATGTCTGCTTCTGGTACATACCTCCCAGCTTGCGTGGAATGGAGGACAGCGAAGAGAGAACGAGCCGCCTGATGAAGGTGAGCACTGAAACCTTTGCAGGAAGGCAGTCCCCAGAATGATCTCCCAGGGCACAGAGCAGGGTGAGGTTCTGGCAAAGGACATGGTCATTTTACTGCAGGTCAGTGTGGCACCACCTTGCTCTGGTCACCAGGTGTGGTATTCCCTGGCTTTGCTGATCTCCAGAGCACGTATTTGCTCTGTGTTTATGTACTGAAGCCACTGTGAACCACAGTCACTAAACCCAGCAAGGGCAGCAAAAACTCAACAAGACTACAGCGCAGCTACTGTGTCCCTGTCAGCAATATTGAGGAACTAGCAGAGGGAAATTTCCAGTCATTTAAAGAGCAGGACAAAGAAAGGGGATAAATTGAATGCCTTTTCAATGTGACATTTATTCCTTACTGGAGGTTAATGTTTCTACTAATACTGGATGTAATTTCATTTCAGCTGCTTGTAGCTCTCCATCCGCTATAAAAAAAGGAAGTATACTCTGTTTTAATAATAATGAGGGTGATGATAATAATGAAAATAATGATAATAATGACAATAATAATAATAATATTCATTATCATCATCCCCTACTTTTTTGTTGCTCTGCAGGTGGCACCAGTGATAAAAGCCAGGATGATGGAGTATGGCACAACCATGGTGAGCTATCAGCCCCTGGGAGACAAAGTGAACTTCTTCCGGATGGTCATCTCCAACCCTGCAGCCACTCACCAAGACATTGATTTCCTGATTGATGAAATAGAGCGCCTGGGACAAGATTTATAATAACTGGGTGTGAAAGTCTGTTCCTGGACCTCTAAGTAGACAATTAAGTTGTCACAAACTGTGCGAATGTATTTGTAATTTGTTCCAAAGTAAATCTATTTCTATATTGTGGCGTTGGAATAGAGTACAGTTTAAAATTAAGAAACATGGCTCCTTTAAAGTCCTTTCCTGAGTTTTAGAATGCCTCCTTAATAATTAGCTGCACAAAAAAGCTTTATTAAAATAAATAAGGAAGACCAGAAGATACTTAAAATTTTACCCCAAATTTTAACTCTGTATTTACTTTAAATTAAAAGCAATCAGACTGAATGATGCCAAAGTTGCCCAAAATTAGGACAAAATCAGATTGGGGGAAGTGGGAAGGGGTGGTGAGATGCAGAATATATATGCTGTATGTTTAAAAGTGAAAGGATTTTGCCTTTTTCGTAGTATTAGAACAGAATTTCTAATTTACCTATAGCAGCATTTCAAATGTATTTAAATAAGTATAGTTTTACAAAAGGAAATATATATATATATATATAAAAAATCCTATTTTGTAAACTATATATTTTTATTTTATATGGGTTATAAAACTGCAAGGACAGAAGCTGAAAATCAACTGGGATTCCTTTTCTTTTGATGGAGGTGCCTCAAATAATTATTATTGATTATTTTAAAAGATAAGCCCACGTAATACATTTTTTCTCTATGTCGTATGGATTGTACATCTCCAGGTTTGGTTACTGAAAGACCTCAAGAGGACTGCAGCTCTTACAACCACTTAATAAAATCAATTACAGTACAACAATAAGATGCTATTATTCCTAATTATGTTTCCCATGTGGCCTGAGCAGACGCACAATCAATATACAGTGCTAACCAAGACTGAAATAAGGTTGTGTTTGGATGGTTTCTGTGTTCTGTGTTTTAAAAGCCTATTTTAAAAAAAGAAAGGTCATGTCTGAGTAATATTAATTAATAATTTCTTACTTCTAACTATTCTGCTCTCAGCAGTCCCAAACCACATTGAAAACCTCACAGCTCCATTAGGAAGGTGAAGACTTCTTACAGATGTACAGGTCTGCAAGACAAGGCCTAAATTAAATGTGACTACAAGTGACAGGAATGGAGTCGAAGTACAAACTCTTTGAAAAGGATTTTCACAGTGCTGGACTCCATCCTTGTCTACAGTGAAGTCAAGATATGGCTACATCTGCCAAAGAACAACCCCTACAGAGCCTCACAACCTTTTTAGAAACCATGGGCACAGCTCTTGCAGAAATTATTTGCTGCATCATTCCTTAGCTTTAGAGGTGTCTCTGGCATGGAAACTTAAATTTATCCTTTCTCCCCCCAACATCTGGAAGTGTTGGTAAGAGTTCTGCAGCTTAGACCTGTCTACTTATAACCCTACTAAAGTTTTGGTTTTAACTTTGCCTAAATGGCCAACTTGTGTTTGTAAAGCAATATGGTTTTGCTGTCTCTAAAATACTTGAAGACAAAAAATGAAGTGCAATGTGGGTTTAATTTCATCTAAAATAGATTAATGGAGTATTGATTCAGTGTAATACGAGGACATGAAGTAAGGAAATAAATAGTGTCTGTAATTGTGTTGCCTTTATTATATTGATAGTACTGTTTTGTCACCTCAGATTGAGGCTGTGCACTTTAGATTTAAACTGTACAATGTTGCAAATCAACATGTGTTGCTGTATAAGCTTGTACAATATATTATTGGGATGTCATTATTTGTGTGGTAGTAGTATTGACTCGATATTGTAAGAACTGCATTCACGCCTGTCCCTCTACTGTATCTTTGCTTGGTGTTAACCTCTCCTCGTCAGCTTCTGGGCACGCCCCACACCTCACTTCAGTGGATTTCCATTGCTACCTGCTAGTGTTTCAAGCCAAGCTGTAGAGGAGATACCAGTTCTATCAGGAAGGTCTCAATGTGACCTCTGCTAAACGTGTCAAAATCAGCAGATTCATCACTGAAATACTGAGTAGAACAGCAAATTGTATTCTTTTTTCTTGCTGGGAAAAAGGCAAGCAAAGAACTTAAAAAGCAAAAATAGGACAGGGACAATGATGAAGGTGATCAGTAGCCTGGTTACATCTTGCATGTGCAATTACGTTTTAAAGTGCTAAGTGCAAACAGCATATTTATTAGATGTATGTGCCAATCCAAGATTCACATTTGCTGTTCCAGGAGAACCAGCATTTTTTTTTACACATTACTGTACTTATTGCAGCCAGGAAGGAGCAGCATAGCAATCTGTTCTTGTGTTTGACCAAAGTATCTTATCTGTGGTGTTGATCTAAATCCAAATAAAAGTGTAACATGTGACTCTGGGTCTTTTCATTAGCAGCACTGATGAGCATTCTAAGTGTTTATCACTTGTGCCATTTTGGAGCAAGGCCCCAATAAAGAGAATGTTTAATTGGAACATTTTATGTCTCTTGCTGGATTTTTTCATTACAAGATTCTTTCCGTTCACTACTGTATCATAAAAATACCAACTCCACCACCAGGCCTTTTCTGAGACAGTACTCCCAGACCTTTCTTGGAGGCAATATGCAGCATACAAGGGTAAATCTGCCATCTGGTATTCCTGTACCCAACCTTTACAAGTCAGATTTAGTTGTTTTTTCTCCTCAGACAGCCTCAATTTTTTTATGCTCTCTTTTGTCTTTTTATTTCATATGTACTTATCCCCGAATTGACCATAGATCCAAATCAGTGTTAGGACAGCTGTGAAAGCAGTCAGGGCACTTGCCAGGACAGCGCAGACTGTACAACAGCAACAATTTAAAATGGCTGTGAAGTGAAAAAGACAAAACAGCCAATACAAAAACTTACAATTTTAATCTTTACGTCTCTCCTGGCCCAAGGCCACCACCCTTCAAAATCTGCCACCAGTCTGCTCTGTTTCTCTTCCACCCTCTGCAGTGCTGCCCAGTGCAATACCAGCAGAGAAATAAAACACTGGTAAAGCCACAGCAGTCTGAGAGTTCATGCCTGAAATAGGATTTTTTTCTATAATTTCTCTAAGTCTCTAGCAGAATTTAAGATTAACACCTGTGCTGAATACCTGCACAGAACCCAGCTAGGAGATCTCTAAGGAGATAGAGGGAGAGCTTGCGGGGATAAATTACCGTCCTTATCTCAGTGAAGCTCTCTGTTTGGCATTGGGAAGGGGAGCACTGGTTTAGCCTTTTTGAGCACTCCCCTCACAGGAGTGGATGAAGCTTGGGCTTGTATAAGTGACTGACTTGCCTCAGTACCCAGTAGTTAATGGTTTCCAGGGTATTAATGCAGAAATAAACAGTGTAGGTGGACTCTTGTGCAGCTTCTGCATATCCTTGGCCCGGGTGCTGTATATATGAGAGTGGCTGAGGGTCAGAGGAGAGGCTGAAGAAGTTGTCAGCCCAGCTGATTTTTTAGTCTGATAACACAAGGTGGACCACCAAAGGACATGCCTGATGTGGTCATTAGCTCTTGATGACTTTGGCTCTTTGTGGAAGCTGCTCATTCTGCAAATGGTCTCCAGGCAGGACCCAGAGAGAACCCCTCACCTACCCAACAGCCTACATCTCCAAGGAAGGCAGGTTTAATGTGTCAGCATAGCTAAGGAATGAACAAAGCAAGACAGAGCTCAAGAAAATGTGTATCTTTTATCTGACTTAGCCGAGCTAATTGCCAAGAAGAAATTCTAGATAGAGAGCAAACCACATACAAAGCCACAAAACTCTGTCTGTAATGTGCTAATGTCTGAGTCCTACACTGTCTGAACCATCATGTTTCTACTTGACCAACCTAACTACTGGGACTAATTCAGCCATCAAGGGAAAGCCAGGTGCTGCAGCTGGAAGAATTGCAGACATGACTTTGCTCTTCAGTGAAAAGACAGAGCACCTACAGGTCATGGCAGTGTTCATTACTGCACTGTAGGATGCAGGGGTATAGATTTTACACTGTATTTTGGAGCAAGAAATTGTTTCTGATTAGAAGAAAAGGAATATCTACCTCTTTTTGTAATAGAATAAAAGCCTTGCTGCTGAAATTCTTGCATTGCAAATGAAGATGAATAAAACCCTGTTTCATAAATTCCCATTTCATGAAGAGAGCAAAGGCTGTTTTCTCCATAAAAGTCACACGTCAAGCAAAGGTGGAAACCTCCCATTCTCCCACTACTCTACTACAGCTCTTCTGTGCACATTCTCACTCCAGCTGATGCCTGATGCTGAGAATTCCAAAAGCATTCAAATATCTAACTTCCATGATGTTAACCCAGATTACTTAATCCCAGTCCTCTAGAGTACTCACTCTTAACTGTGACCTATAATCCCTGGGAATAATTTTCCATAGGTCTGTGACCAACGATCAGGAAGGGCAAGTTCAATGCACTGCTCTGCAGTATGTGAATTTCTAAAGGAGTCCACACCTTCCATAGAAAGGAATTGTTTCTAAAACACTAGATTCTGCATTACAAGTAACAGGATCTAATGTGTTACTGACATCTGACCTACACTGGACATTAAAACCACATCAGATTTTAATTATATAGCAACAGAAAGGTACAAACATTAAGCTAACGAGGGAGTACAAGAGTAGATGTACTTAATTTGTCCCATTACCCTGGAAAATGTCATTATTTTATATAATCCTTATCGGTAAATTTCCATTTTCTCCCACTTACACACTCCCTGCATGATGGACTTCTATTTTCCTACCCATCCTCCTCTGCCTGTAATGAAAGTGGTTCTGGAAAAAGAGCTGTTCAGGATTTGATGTAAACATGTTTTTGTTGCTCTGAGAAGCCAAAAGGAAATGGCTTGTGTTAAAAGAGTTAGCTGCAGCCCACAGCTCTTTAAAGGCAGTCTGTAAAGAGGGATGGGGCCATGTGGTTGGGGACTGCACACACCAGGACTGCCCAGCAAAGCTCCCCAGGTGCTCCTTTGCTGGGAGACAATGCCCACCATGGAAAGTGATTCCACAGCAGTCCCTGCCAAACAGCTCCAGCTAATTTCCCCATTCA